CCTTTCCAGGGTTGATTCATCGACTAATGACACCAGAACATTTAGTGCTGAAGTAGGCTTCTTCTTTCAGCAATCTGTTCCGGTTAAAACGTATTCTCTTCTGGACGAGGCTCCAGTCAAACGTTCGAAAATGGCCTTGTTCATGTGTAGAACTTTAAATTTGGTATGATTAAAGAATCTCTTTTAGTCAACGTTAGCTGATGCATGAATAAAGACAATGACATGAACGTAGGTAATATTTGGACGTCAGCTGCACAGAAAGCAGTGTCAACGTTAATCCCTGCTTGACCCATTACACAACATATTTGTCCTAGACAATTCTGCTTGTACCATTATTCCTTGACAACGAGCAGAGTACGGCTAGAATCGTGAGTAAGTTGTGTAATAAACAGTATATATACCGAACAAAGCTTGCAAGAAATATGAAGCCCATGGAGTCAATGTCCTACATAAAAAGGTGTTCAATTATTAAACGTTAAATAAAATATTTCATCGTAATTCATACTGTAATTGCAGTTTATTAGAAATTAAACAGGTTTGGATGCTGGCAGAACCCGGTTTAGATACGTTGGGCAACACCAGCACGTTTAATACAAATTTTGTTACCTGATGCAGCTCCTCCAACGATGAAGTATATCGGAGCCATTAGTCTGACCTTCTTCAATACCGTCACCGCCTCTTGGTAGCTGCCCGCCTTTTCCATGATTTCCCTGGTGATCCAGAACATCCACTTATTGTCCTCTAAGCGCATCAGCCACTCCATTACGCCGAGGTAGCCGCCGTTCCAGTCGAAACGCTCGTTGGCCGATAAACTGAAAGCTTTCGGTTTCACACCGTTCAAAACACCAATGAACCCGGCGAAATTCGTCGACTTAAAAATAACGCGACCATTCACTTGCCAGTCGATGTTTACTACCAAAGGTCTCAGCGTATTTGTCAAAAGCCAGTCGTGTTGTTCGGGACTCCAGCCTGAAAGTGTCACATACTGTAAGGCATCAAAGAAGTTAGTTCTTCTGTAACGAAAAAGGATTTCAACTGAGGATGCATCAAGACATGATTTTCGACTACCCTAAGTTTTCAAGAAACGAAAATTTTCTTCGATCTTGCAATGAGGAATCACAAACTCGTGTGCTCCAGGGTTTCCTGTTGCAGAAGAAACATGCATAATGCAATAGCATTTAAAAAGGCTTGTCTTTCATGAAACTCTGAAAATGACAGATAGTTCAAATTGAAACAATGGCGAGTTAAAAATGGCCTGCTTATTGAAATCGCCATCTTAAATCGATTGTATAGGCAAAGACGATTTGGTATGTGATGTGCTAAATTGGCAGCTTTTACAATACGTTTTACACTAAGCATCAGCAAAAGTTGGTATGTTTCTATTCTGTCCCTCAATGTTGCGTGCTCATGCTGATCTCCTGGTCAACGTGCACCGCTTCGATTCTCACACGATGAGCAGCTGGGAGGGAGAAATTGCCTTGTGCTCACCCAGTTATTCTAAGAGAACCGGCTTCCTTTCCTTAATTATTTCATCTCTTAGTTCAACTGTGTAGGGAAGAAGAGTCATTGCTTATGTCGTGCTCACACTGTTTTCTGATTATACGTCGAAGCCAACATTGCTGTATGTTGTCCAAGCTGATTCTTCGCCCTTCCTTAGAACAAATGTGTTCATATCGTATGACCACCGCTCTAACGAAGTGAAGAACACGCAGAATTATACTGAAATGGTAATTTCCCTTTGTGCTCAAATATTTGAAGGATTACCGAAAGCGAGGAGGAGGTAAGAGGACTGGGCAATACTATCGCTAAACAAAAAGATGGCAGGATGCTTAAATTGAGGACTTCTTCACTAGCTCCTCCTCTTTCCTTTTGAATGAGGAGATGTTCCCGTCTCAAACTCTGAGCTCCCACTGTCGACATCCCACTTTCAGAACTAGTATCGACTCCGTTGCGTATTCCTCGCCTTCTTGCGGAACTTCGTAGCCGTCGTTGCAAGGTCAGTCTTCAGCTCCAAGAAGGCGTCAAAGCAAGTTTTGATCACTGACAGTTCGCAATCGGTCTCTGGTCCCCTGCAACCGGCGCAGACCTGAGTAACTCGGGTCATAACTGTGTCGGTAAAATGCTCGATAACGGCAATATCATGAGGGTAGGTGGCTTAGTTCAACTGGAGACCTCGCCACGTCTTAGTAAATCCTGTGAACGGCTAGCACATTGTTCTGATCAGCGACATCAAAAGCAGCTATTTCTGGCAGTTGCCACAGAATATTCGAGTAATCTGCGGAGCATACACATGTCAGTGATGTATGTACATGTCACGTGGCATTTTTCTGTCAGTGATGGAGCGATTGTTGCTCAGCCTGACTCGGGAGGTATTCGATCACGTATTTGTTCGACCTGACAATGAGAGGCGGCATAGCCTTCAAACACTGCAGATGTTTAAATACGATCGAATCATGGCAAGCCAAAGAAGTCCCACACTCATGCAGGAGCAAGGAGATGTGTGATTAAGGCAGTAAGTCCAATTGAGGGATACAACCAAATGTAAAACGGTGCAACACAGCCGCAAGAACTGACCTCATCCGGAAGTCTCCGATCGATCACGGTAAATTGTGGGACAAAACTTGCCGTGAGGGTGCCGTGGGGGTGCTGGCAGAGAAACGACTATCACAAACCTTCAAAACAATGCGACCAAAACCAACAAACGAACATTTCGTACCAAGGAGCAGGCCAAAGTCCAAGTTTCTGCCGGCCAGGATTTTGCCGTTAGGCGTTTCAGCGACGATCGACGTGCACAAGCAAATATTTCATAAAATACGTTGAACATAACGATTTGACCAACGGGGATTTTCAGGACAGTCGCGATGCCTTGGATTTCGTCCTGGTACGGTTGCGGCAGGTAGTAGTTCATTTTACTCATTTCAGAGTCGACGAACTTTATCACCTTTCCATGAAACAGGGGGTAAGTGATGTTTTTGACCACCTAAAATGAAATTACGTGATCAGTCAACTGATGAGCAGCGGGGGGAGGGCATGGGGAACGGTGTTGCACATACGGCAAGCATGTCGATGATTTTTTGAGAATAATCGGAAGCCAACCTGGCCCACCGCTTTGCCGGTTTTTCATTCAGATTGATGACGTAGGTTGGCACCGGTTCCACTGGATTGAGTCTTTCGCCTGCCAGGCATTGTTCCGTATACGGCGGTGGAAGGGTGACGGTCGAGACGCGAACTACGATGCTTGCCAAAAGGATCAAGGCACCAACCATTGTCGCGCACACAGACATAACAGTCTGTATGAGTGGCCCGAATCCACCCTGCTGAGACTCAGAAACTCGCCGATGCCTCGCGTTAAGAACAGCTGGCGTCGAGTGAGCGATCCAATACCAAAACACATGACGGACGGACTGGCAGGCGGCGAAGGCACAACTGTAAAGCTGAAAACAACATACGACATGCCATCGATCAGCGGTGCCAGGGAATATTGCGCGCTAACGGAGTAACATCGAAATTAATTACCAACGTCTGAAAGAATAAATATTTTTTTACTCGTATCAAATTCACTGTAATCTGAACATGCAAAATATTAGTTATGACAGGAAATCAACATTTAAAAATTGTAATTACGAAGCGTATGTTCAATTATTACATGCAATGCCAATTGTGGCTTCAATAACTAATACATCAACGCTTAAATTTTGATCTATATCTCAGGAACCTTGCTAGATCACACAGGTTGGATTTTATTTTAAACTGAAACCTAACGGTTGGAACTCTGACAGCCACTGACGATGACATCATCGAATAAAGAAGTCTATCCATTTCACTTTGAAGAAGGCTCTTGCCATAATGACTGCGATGTCGTGCGTGTTTGATTTTTCGGTAAACCCCAACGAATGCTTGCCTACTTACCACTGTTTCAAATTACTTGCCTGCCTACTTCGTTCCTTACTTTATTACTTAATTAAGTGGCGTGGTGGCACAGCATCTAAGAGGTGCACCTCAAAGTTTTTGGGTAAAGGGTTCCATTCTGATCGTGGGAAACCTTGTCTGATAAATGAGAAAGGAATTTTCCATATGTTGTTTCGAACCGAGGACGCCTCAGTCTGTAGGGCTTGGAATTGAGAAGTCCGGAGTCTGAGCCCCGGTCAGAGTCGTATCCCTATCTTCCATCTGGAGTTGATGAATGAGTACTGTTCGTTGTGAAGGAAACGGTGCACTACACACTACGCTTGCCCTTTGGTCGTTGACCTTTAAACAAAGCAGTCCTTGCAGATGACATAGAAACAAAAATTATCACGCACAATCAACTCCGTGAGAAGAATTGCGCCAAAGTAAGCCTACCATCAAATTGTAGCGAAAACGGACATTCTAACAGCTAGAAACTTTTTTTCTTAATTACTAAGTTGCTTAACTTATTTACTCTCAGATTTTTTTGGAACTTACTTGCTTCTGTACTTGGTCGGCTATTTGTTTCTCTAGGTAGCTATCTTTCTGATTATTTTCTTACATTATTTGCTTACTTACTTGCTTATTTACTCGCATCCCAATTTGATTGCATACATATTTACATGCCTTCTTGTTTCCCTACTTATTTATTTACTTTTTCATTTGCTTTCTCAAGTACTTGTTTACTTCCTTACTTTCCTACACTTTTCTTACTCTCCAATCATATTCTTACTTCTAAATATATTCATTTATTTGTGTACTTAGTAAATTATTGACTAAGTTACTAACTTTCCTATTTCCTAGCTTATTAACTAATTTGCTAACTAACTTAATTTGCTAACTTAAGTTACTAACTTGCCTATTTATTTACTCACATTCCTGGTTACCTTAAGGGTACCATTATTTTTGAATCTGTGGTTAGCGGCCCAAAGAAATTAACATTTGTTCAACGGATCAGCATTTAAGTCGACCTTGCATCGATCATGATTTGGTTACAATAGTAGCACAATGATGGCACTAATACGGTTAGAACGAATCTTTCCTCTGTTTACAACAAACAGTCGATTAATTCCTATGCCATATATATGTCACGTACAGTCGTACATCCATTGGGTAACTAATTTTGTTAGCTGAGTTACATAACTATTGCTTTATGAGTGGTTTCATTCCATTTAATGGCCATCAATGATGTTAACGTCGCTGCTGTGAAAGCTGTCAGTTTTCCAGACCACCCGCGACTAAGGCGGGATCTATGCGATTGTCATAAGATATTTCTTTTTCCTTGGTCAGTTGCCTGTGACTGCCAGAGATGTGTGCAGCGGATGATGTAAGGGCAGTTATGATCATCACGATTTATTGAGTACAACAAATTCTTAATTGCCATTCTCAAGTAACGATCAACGTGTTCACATGATAGACTTCCTATAATATTTGCACTGCAGAAAAACACTGCTGTAGTATAAGTAAGCATCGATAAAAATGGAACTTGTCATGATATGGCGGTCACAGATAAAAATGCTTGCAAATAAATATACTTGTTAAAAATAATTTCATTAATAAATATATCCATCTGGTCATTATACTTTTAAGAATTCAATCAGAAAACCTTCTATATTAATTGATTCTTGCTTCAAATATTGGCAGTGAATGGATTATGAATTTTGAAAGGTATGTAAGGCAGTAAAAATTTATGAAAAGTCGGATCTGTTCGAACGGAATCAGACAACTGTATGGTGACATGATTTTTAAATGAAACAGACCTAGAATTAATCGATACGTCTGTTTCGACTGCTTTGAACCTGTTGGCGATAGATGTGGTTCGATCAGCACGTTTCAATCAATCACTTTAATCCATGTAACCAACCTGTAATAGACAAGTGTTTCAGAGTCACAACACTCATATGGCACAAAATGAACTAACTGGAAAAGAAACGTGCAGTCCGGACAATATAATGAAGGGAACTCTTTGGCTCGAGGTGGATGGAACAGTCAGCAAGAAACGTTCTTCGGTTACAGGTTTTGCATAGTCATCTGTCGGCTGCCTTTGTAACTTATAATGACCATTTTGTTTATCATTATTGTGCTGCGTTGAGAAACTTTGTCCTGCGGGTATCGAGTTTGCATATTTTCGACGCCAACCCTGGCGTCATCTTCCGTTGACGTTGCAAAGATGCGAAAGAACGGGAAATCTATAATTATGCATGTATATTTGTTCAAGAAAATTGTTTTAGGACCCCTACGCCAGAAATCTGCAGTATATACAAATATCCATTACTCTTTATGAAGACATTCTAATACCCCGGCCTACTGTACGCGCCATAGTCACATCGATAGCTTAGTAGGAAGGAAAAATAATTACGAATTTCTTCGTATCACTAGCCATAAAATTGGAATAGATAGTATTCACTTGGTGTCTGACACTAATGCGGTCATTTTGATTGCAGTTCGACAATATGTGAATGTGAAAACTCGTTTTCCTGCTGCCAACCTTGAAACGAGAAAACCTGTTAGCGCAGTCATCCACGACAGGGTTTCCTTATGAGCCTTTGAAGCTATATAGCATTTGTTGCTGCTGCTATCGCTACCACTTGCCCAACCGACCAGCTGGACACCCAATGGACGACCAAAAATAATAACCTGAGGCAAGGGCGTGGCATGTTCCAGACTCTGGTTATCCTCTGCCGAAGCTCAAGCACTGGCAAAAAATCGGGGACGCTGTTTGACGCGTGTGCCCATACGAACCAAAAGGATAAAGGGTCATCAAAACCGACTGATTGTTGCTGTCATGTATTTCTATAATCCAAATTTTATCCATGAATCCTGAAATATGATAATCTTCATCGCTAAAATACTTCTTAAATCTGCGATTTGATTCATTTAAGGTTATGCCAAAATGGGATCTAGCGTGAGTTATAAGGGCAGCTTGAAACATCTGATATGCGTTTACACAAACATCTGTTTCGAATTTTTCAGATGGACTTAAAAACTGCGGAAGATTATGCTAAATGGTAGATATTTAAACTATAATGACTGAAATTTGCCATGTTTTGTATAGGTTTTGAAAAGTACCGGTATTAGAACTAGAATACTGAACTGTTTTTCCATACTGTAAGATGCCAAACTGATGATAAATGAAAATAAATGGAGAAACATGGGTATGCGTTCATGGCACAATATTGATAAATTTTATTTGGAAAGAGTTGTGTTATTTACTAACAAGATATTATGAAAGAAGTAGTTTCAATTTTTCGCCCTGATATTTGTGCTGTGAAAGAAGCATAAGGTTGGATCCCTTAAATTCAGTGAATGCATGGCCAAAGACGATGAAAATTCTGGGCTTTTTTGAGTCGACAGGTTTCATTAGCCACACGAGTCATCATCGTGGATCCCAAAATGCTGCAGAGGCCCCGAACAAAGGAAAGTTTACTATGGCATATAATTTGGAGCAAGAGTCGATTATTCTCCATAACATAGATATATCAAAGGAACTCTTACATATTTAACATTTCCTACTTTTAAATCCGTAGCAATTTAAATCCATAACTTATCGTGGATCAATCATGAAAATTTGATATATCCATTTACGCTGTTATGATGTACGTATGCTCACCATAGTTATTTGAGGTATTAGGGTCAAGATCCAGCTAGCTAGATTAATTATATCTTACGCGTTTGGCTTCTTAGAATGATCTAGACGATGTCATTTCCTGTATCAAAGGCCAGATTCCTTGTCGCAAGTGGATGCGCCTCTATTATCTGTTTTACGGTGCGATATTGGCTTCTGATACATCCACGACCGTTCTTTGCTTCCCAGAAAAGAATGGATTTGCAATCTATAGGTGATTCTGTCAAAGCACAAAAAATTCAGGTTCCTGATTTCTTCAGACAGCATTATGAGACTAGTAATATGCAAAATCTTATCACTGTTCATTGGATGAAACCATCACATTTCAAATTGTGCTACAGGCAGCGTTGCTGGAATCTGTCCGACATTTTTTCATGACTCTTCAAAAGTGTGGATGCTACAAGGCTGAACATCAGGACCGAGAAGACGGCGGCTTTCATTATGGTGTTCTTGCCTGCTGTCCGGATAGATCGATCTTGCCACACTTTGAGAAGATGCTTGTATCAGCCCTATGCACTGTTCTGCTTCTCCGTCGCAGCTCCCATCCGCTTCCAGAACGTCGCCCATGTCTTTGAAATTTTCGACCTCCTCGATGGCAGTTGCGCTTCATCCAATCTTTGGGGCGTTATTCGAGTCGAGTGCTGGCCTGATCTTCGTCTTGGTGGGGTTGACTTCTGGACCTGCCGTCGAGGAGGTACAATGCGTACATCTTCT